AGCTTTTGAAATTTAATGAAATGTAATTTGTAATCTTTATTGATTTTTCTTTTTCTTTAAACTAACTTTCCCCAATTGTTTTTTCTGTATTACCCTAACCAGCTATACAAATGATTAATCGTATTATGGATAATTCTGTAAGGAGTTTAAACTATAAAATATAATAAACATATATATATTTCATAATAAAAGAGTAATAAATCTTATATTATTCACAATATAGGGTTTAAAAAAGCTGAAGACAGATTTATCTGTTGTAAAAAAAGACATTTTAAAAAAAAACCAAATATCTTCGAGTTTTTTTGGTTTTTTTTGAGGTGGGTTTTTTTGGGTTGGGTTTTTTTACCAACCCTGTCTCTGGAAAACTAGAATTAATAATAACACTATTCTTCTTTCTTTGTTTTCTGTTCTAAAGAACAGGTTTTAACCTGGAAGAAGTTTACCATAATTACAGTACTCATAATCTTTACCTAATCATAACTCATTATCTTCATAATCTCATTTACATATAAGTATAAGAGCGATTCTTATAAACTAGCGGCATTAGACTTGTTTTTATGAAGTATGTTTTTCCTTGTTATTTTGTTATGGTCTCAAAGTTACATTTAATTCGGACCGTAGAGAAAACTTGTAAAACAAGCATGATAAAGAGAAACAACCTTAGCGGATGCTAATTTAGCAATTAATTGTATATATGGTTTCCATAAAAGATCAGTAGTAAACAATAATCCAAGAATATGTAAAGAAGTGGACTCAATTAGAGGATTGCAATATATTAATAAAGGAATGTCAATTAATAGTTGTTTGCAGTAAATAACTGAGTTTTGTTGGAGTTAAAATTCACAAGCCACTGTGCGCCCCAATATGTTAGAGAAGTGAGATCAGATTCAAGATTGGCTACATGTTCTAAGCGATTAAGTGAGAAGACTATTTGCCAATGCAAGAGTATAAGGTTGAGTCATTAGCAAAAAGAGCTACTTTAGATGGTTGTTGGGAAGATCATTAATGTAGATAAAAAACAAAACAGGACCAAGGATAGAAGTTACTGGATATAAAGACGAGTGTTGGCCTTTAAGGATGACTTTAAAAAAGTGGTTAGAAAGAAATAATTTGATAATCTCAAAAACTTCCCCACATATACCAAATTAAACAAGCTTATGAAAGACCAGCATGTTAAACTTAGTCGAAAGCCTTAGGTTTGCCAAAAGCAATAGCCCTAGCCTCTTTGCCTCTGTCTAATGCACAATTTCCATGATCACAAGTTTTCCTTTTACTAATAATAATAAACTTAATTAGTCTTTTATGGAACCACAAGAACAACAAGCATGATTTAATTTGTTTTCTTTGTATTATTTTATTTTTGTTGAATATTAATATAAAAGGAGTTTTTACATTTACATAATTTTAAGATTACATCAGATAGATATTTACATTGATAACTACATTGAGCATTAATTTTTTTATACTTACTTTTTCTTAGTTTTTATAGTAATGCAATTACAACCAAATTTTTGCTTGTGTTTATACTTTATTACAAATTTAATTTGCTGATATATAATATAAAGAGAGGTTAGTAATTTCTTATATATATATATATATATATATATATATATATATATATATATATATATATATATATATATATATATATATATATATATAAAATGACACCTTTTTTGTACCACTGTTTACAAAAGATGACACCTTTTATTGATGGTTCAAACTCCAAACTTAAGTATCTTAATGCCTGTGCCAAAAGAAGATTGCAAAAAATTGTGGTAATGGAGGCCTGTGAAGAAATCTTGACTGACCCACCCAACCCCTCTTTCCTTTCCCCAAATATCAGGACAGTAAATTTTTTAAATTTATCAAAAGTTTTTTATAATGGTCTTCATAATTTATATATTATTTCTTTAGAAAACAATATCAGAAACCATAAAATATCAAAACTTTCATTAGAAATTTATTTAAAAAAATATTTCAGATAGGGTTATCAGTAAAACTAAATTTATATTTTAATTTTGGTTCCAAAGACATTAAAAACAGGTTGCTTGAGTTGAAATGCAAACATAGATGCAAATAATAAAGATATTACAAACCAAACTTTTTTAGCATTAATTTGTTTTAAATCTTTACTTATAAATGTATGTGTGGGTGCACATGTGCATGTGTTTTATATATTATGTAATATATTAAATATATTGTTGTATTGAATATAGTGTATTAAAAAAAAATAACTGAAAAACTATTTTTATTGCAATTTAAAGTTAGATTTCAAGTTAGATTTGCAAAATTACATGATAAATATTTGATTAGTTTTTAGCTTGTACAATCAAAATTGTATCTACCTTAATTTTAATATTAATGGTTATTTTTTTTTTTTTTTTTTATACATTTTAACTCTTTTTTTGGACAGAATTGTAACATCTTATTATTTGTGATAATATATAGTGCAATAACTGTCGTTATTGCACTGTTGGTGCAATAACGACAGTTTGATATGTTAAATCTATATATATATATATATATATATATATATATATATATATATATATATATTATATATATATATATATATATAACATATCAAACTGTTGTTATATATATATATATATATATATATAAATATATAAATATATATATATATATATATATATATATATATATATATATATATATATATATATATATATATATATATATATAGATTTAACATATCAAACTGTCGTTATATATATATACGTATGTATATATATATATATATATATATATATATATATATATATATATATATATATATATATATATATTATATATATATATATATATAATATATATATATATACATACATATATATATATATACATATATATATATATATATATATATATATATGTATATATATATATATAATATATATATATACATATATATATATATATATATATATATATATATATATATATATATATATATATATGTATGTATATATATTATATATATATAAATATATATAAATATAATATATATATATATAATATATATATATAAATAGATATAAATATATAATAATATATATATATATAATATATATATATATATATATAATACATATATATATAAATAAATATAAATATAATATATATATATATATATATATATATATATTATATATATTATATATATTATATATATATATATATATATATATATATATATATATATATATATATATATATATATGTATGTATATATATTATATATATATAAATATATATAAATATATATATATATATATATATATATATATTTATATATATATATATATAACGACAGTTTGATATGTTAAATCTATATATATATATATATATATATATATATATATATATATATATATATATATATATATATATATATATATATAAGTTTGAACGGATCTTACGTTTCTGAGGCAAGTGCGCTACCACTGCGCCACGGCTGCTCTTAATGAAGCCCTTTACATGAAAATACCTTTATCATGAAACCCTTTACAATATCAAATATAATAATAACAATAAAATCAAATTAACCAATAAAAATAAATCAACATTAACTATATATAACTGTGCATTTAAAATATAAACATACTGGATAAATTGTATGAAATATATGAAACAAAAGAACTAAAAACAAGAATAAATATTTTCAACTGAAAAGATAACTTCTTTTACTTTTCGTTTAAAAGAAGTTAAAGTCCATTTCAATGACAAATCAAAATTTGGCAAAACTCTTTTATTCCATAAATAAGGACCGCGATAAGAAACAATTAGTTGTTCAAAATTAGTTTGGCAGAAAGGTTCTTGTGGATTTTTTCCATTGCGAAGCATGTATTTGTTTATGGGTTTTACATTATAAAGATTTATAAATACATTAAGAGATAAACGATTTTTGCATTTAAACATGAAACATAAAATATTATAAACATTTAGTTTGTATACATTTAAGGCTTTCTTTTCTCTCAGAAGTGGTTTTGAATTTGAAAAACGATTTACAAAATTAATTAAGCGAGCTGCGCGTTTCTGCTGATAAAGAGATTTAGTTTTGCGCGCTTTCCCATACAATATTTGCATAATTTAAATGACCGTAGATAAACGAATAATATAGTTGTTTTACTTGTTGTTTATTTAAAATATGTCGAACTTTATATATAATTCCAACACTTTTAGCGACTTTCAAGGAGATATTATCAATTTTATCAAGGAGATATCAAGTTTCCAGTTGTTTCCAGTTTTCGTTTAAAACTAAAACTAGTTTTTTAAAATAAACTTTAAACAATTGAATTAGAAATTTCAGGGCAAGCATTTCATCATGTGAAATGTTAAATATAGAAGTACTAAAATCTAAAAAAAAGAAATTTTTACCTTAGGGTAGGGTATGTAATATACCTTTAGTAAGGTACAATTTTCTACCTCCTTAGGTAGAAAATTGTATGACAAATTATTGTTTTTAGTATGATTTTATACCTTTAAAAGTAGATAATTATACCAAGGGTATATTACATATCCTAAGGATATGTGATATACCCTTGTATATCACTAATTATATTATACTAAGGGTACATCACATACCCTAAGGTAGAAATTTTTACCTTTTTTTTATAGAGTGTATTAACTTTAAACTAGATTTTTTACTTGTTAAAACACCGCCTTTGAACAAAAAAGCGTAGTTTTTGAATAAACTTGACTGATCCAGCCTACTTCTATGGCCAACAAGCCCTGGTCTACCCTATGATGCGCAAAAATAAAAAATATATTAATATAAAATGGCATGCTTAAAAAATGTTAATAACTAATAAAAAAAAAAAAAGCAAATTGGATATCGTCTTAACCGGCCTTACCTGCGCTTTAACCAGCTTCGAGACAAAAAACTTATCAGATTCTTTCACTGCCTTCTTTGTATAAACGACACTTAATTTTAATTCTGAAGTTTATTTAAATACAATTCAATAAAAAAATATACCACTTTTTTTTTTAATTTATATATATATACAGTTCAATAAAAAAAATATACCACTTTATTTTTTAAGACATTTTGTTTTATGAAAAAAAAACATGCCCATTGAAGTTAATCAAATTCGCAGTCAAAACCGATTATAAATAACATTAAGTAGTCCAGAGTTATGACTTCAAGCAGATCGAGATTCACCGTCAAAGCTGATATGTTTATATATAACATTAAAGCTGATATGTTTATATATAACATTAAAGCTGGTATGTTTATATATAACATTAAATATAGTCTAGTGACAACTTCATGCAGATCGAAATGTGAAAATGAAAATTTTCTTGGACATTTAGGCATTTGAAAGAATTTTTACAAACTTCTCTTACTAAATCTTCTTTTTAGATGTCTTGCTTGAACATGTAGGACAAAAAGGCTCCTATACATTAAAAAGATAATCATACAAATTTAAATTTAATTTTTTTACTGCAACTATTAAAACACTGTTCAAAGCAACTACAACCTTCGGAGGTAGGAAAAAATGAGGTGGTAATAAATCGCCGACCTCAAACTGTTAGAGGTCGGCATAAGGTCGGCGAAAAAAATTTGATACAAAGGGGTTAACATAAAACAATGAAACGATGCTGGCAATTTTTTTGCCGACCTCAAACACTTTAAGGTCGGCAGTTAGGTCGGCATTGCCGAATGCTGACCCTAATTCCGAGGGTTGCAACTATGAATAAAACAAAAAATATTTTTTAATTATACAAAAACAATATTATTTTTAGTTAATTATAGTCTATAGGGGGTAATTACACTCATCACATTAAAATATGCAACATCTTTTTTAGCAATTAAACCCCAATCTAGAATGGCTTCTGCGGTTCTATAAAAATGTTTCAAAGTTGGTAAAGTCACCACTCATAATAGACAAAAACAATCTAATGTAGGTTTCTTAGCTTTTAAAAGTAAAATGTATTTATATGTTAACTTATGCATGTAAATTTAACATATAAATTATATAAACACACTATATAAAATTATATAAATAAACTATGTAAATTATATAAATAAATTATATTCATTAAAACGTAAATTTAAATTCAAATTAAATAAATAATAACTGTAGTTTGACCTTGTTAAAACAAAATATTTTTGTTTTTAAACAGTGGGTCATAAAAACATATATAGTTTATTGGATATAGAGAATTTGCATGCAAAATTTATCTAGAAACGTCAAAATTTCATATACCGTAAAACCGCCTAAGTTCGGTCATTTAAGAAAAAGCATGCAAAACTCAAATTTTACAAACTTTTTTTTCTCAAATAATATTTGTAATTAGTTCGTAAATATGAATCTATAAAAAAAAATATTTATATGCAACTTGCTAAAATAATTCTTTAGCTAAACAAAAATTTGAAAAAATGCATACTATTAAAATCTAAAATAAGCAAATTATTAAAATAAATGATTATATTTAATCTTAGTATTATTAAGAATCACCAAACTAATTATATTTACAAAATAAAAATTATTAATTTTTAAAAATTAACTATTATTTTTTAATAAAAATAGTTAAATTTTGAAATACTCTAACTTCGGTCATTCATGGAAAAACAACGAAGGAAACAATTAGCACGAATGTTGTAAAATGTTAGTATATTAAAAATGTGACTTAGTGAATATGAACTTGTGCTGCAATTGCGTAAATTTACCTGGTAACTTTACCTGTAAATTTACCTGTAACTTTACCTGTAAATTTACCTGTAACTTTACCTGTAAATTTACCTGTAACTTTACCTGTAAATTTACCTGCAACTTTACCTGTAACTTTACCTGTAACTTTACCTGTAACTTTACCTGTAACTTTACCTGTAAATTTACCAATAAGTTTTGACATTTTTATAATACTCACCATAGTATTTTATTTGAATAAAAAATTTGTTTATAATTTTAAAATTACCCTGTTTTAAAACAAAATTTACTGGTCAATTTGAAGGTAAACTTTGATTTCAAAAAATACTGGTAAATTTAAATCACTGAATATGAAGTAATTACAAAACAATAATATATATTGAGACACATTGAAATAGTTTTTTGTCAAGTTAATACATCTATGTCATCTATGGAATTACGCGAGAAAGCTCGGATGGCTCGAGGTTTGAAGGCTGTGGATAAAGGTATGAGTAAAAGGAAAGCAGCTATAACATTTGGCTTTAAAAGATCAACTTTCATCGACAGAAGTAACGGCAAACATACTAAAAAAAATGGCAAACCAACTAAGTTGAGCGAAAACATGCCCTCGCATTTTAGTAAAAATTTTAATATTTATGAGTGATATTGGTTTTAGTTTGACTAGAATTTGTGTTGTTAACATCTATTTGGTTAATTTAAGGACGTATTAATAGATGGACGTTTAACGCATTGTTATAGATCTGAGGCGCCGCGAGTAAACAAAAATCTATGCGAGCTATAATTTTTAGCGTCATTTTTCTAAATAATTTAAAAAAATAAACCGATGTTTTTCCGATAGTTTCGCTTTTCTAACTACTTTTTTAAAAAAATTCAATAACCTATAAAACTGTAACTTTTTTTAATTAATTAATTAAGTTAATCAGAAATAGCTCATCTGTTTTAAAATTTCAAATTTGATATGTGAGCGCTTTTTAATAACAACTTACTATTAATAAAACCTAGACGTCAAAAATCATTTTTTTTTGTAAAAAAGTGATATATAGTTTGCAAGAATGAATACTGCAAGGTAAACCGAATTTTCTAGATGTTGTAGGTAAAACTGTAGATCATTTATAGATCAAACTATTATTACTTAAAATAATAGTGAAAACTTAGTTTTCACTATTATTTTAAGTATTCAAATTTCTGATTTTTGTTGGAAATTCTAACTTTTTTTGTCTCACGATTTTGTTTTGATATTTTTTTGTAATTAACTTTTTTTTTTCCATGTAAAGATTTCGCTTGAGTTTATAGATCATATAATGAAAGGTTTTATTTATTTAAAAACTTTTTAGAGTTTTTAGGTGTTATGGAATGTTTAAATATTTCTTAGGCTAGGGGAGACTATCGTTATTTTGACGCAAAATCTAGTAAAAATATTCTCAAGTTAAAAATAGTTAACGTCTGTTCAATATTGTTTTGCTATTGTTAATTGTAACAATGAATAACGCGGATATCTTGGCTTTTAAACAAAACGTTAAACGTCCATCTATTAATACGTCCTTGGTTAATTCAAATCAAATGTGTTTTAACGGCGGCGAAGTTACACTTACTCATTTATTAGACGTCATTGTGAAGAACTATCGCTCAGAATTTTAAATAATATGCCATCAAACCGAGCATTGTCGACTCAGCCAGGCACTATTGATCGATGGTATTTATTAAAATTATATGTTTATATGTAAATTTATTTCATTGAATATCAATTGTTATTTAATAAAAAAAAATGCAATTATTAAAAGGTAAACTTCAATTTGATTGTAATGTTTACAAATTGTCCTTTTTTTATAAACTGCTCAATTTGCAGCATTTTAAAAACCTACTTTATAATTTTTTTTTATTTCTTAAATCAAGGTTTGCACAAGTGTCTGATATGTAAAATATACATGGATTCGCAACTAAGCCATTCCACATTTTTAATTGCGATGAATCTGGTCTTCAATGTGATCAAGGCAAATATAAGGTTGTGTGTCGGAAAGGTTCAAAAAGGCCTAAGAAACTTTGCAGTAACAACGAAAAGGCTTTAGTCACAATACTTGATTGTTATGATACTTTTGGAACATTCTTTCTTGTTCATGCTTTATTCCAAAGCCAAAAGTATTTATGATGAATTTGGGTATGTATTTTAAGAAGGATTTAAAACACATGTGCCAATAATACAGAAAACTCTGCATTTTAAAAACTATTTAATTATTTAAAATTTTAAATTGATACCCAAATGGCTTCTAACTCAGGACGGGCCTAACAGTGCTATCTATGGTGTCACACAATCTAGCTGGATGGAAGGACCTGCTTTTGCTGGATGGTTTAAAAAGACATTTGTCCCACATCGTCACAAGCTTGAAGGATCCAAAATCCTTTTTCTAGATGGCCATGCCTCACATGTAACGCTGGAACTAATTCACTTAGCAAAAGAGGAGAACATTATTTTTAAGCTATACTATACTCACACGTGCTGCATCCACTTGATGTAGGCGTATTTAAGACAGTGAAAAGTAAATGGCGCGGAATCCTAAACAAACATTTCATTCAAAACCGTTTTAAAGATCTCATAAAACCTAGATATCCTGGGTTGCTAAAACAGCTTATTGACCAAAGCTTCTTGAGCGACAATGTACATTCGAGCTTCAAAGCAACAGGTACTTCCTTTGTGTCGGGAAAAAATGACTAATGAAAAGTTTGCTATTGGATCGATTTTTGCGCAAAGTACTCAAGCCTTACCAACACTGTCTATACAAAAGCATAAAAGTTCAAGCACACAAACATCTTCGAGCTCATTAAAACAAACACCTCCTTTAACATGCTGCACAACTGCTTGTGAGACATCAATTTTAAATGTTTTACATGTTGGTCTGCCCAAAGCTTCTGTATCAGAGTCAAAGCTAAATGATTCTAATAATAACATACGCTTTATGAAAAGTTGCATTATGACTTCTGAAGAAGCTTTGATAGAACTTACAAATAAGCAAAGAATGGCACAAAATAAGAAGAACGAAATACAAGCTAGAAAAGGTTTGAGTGAAAAAACAAAACAGGAGGCTAATTCAATTAGGACTCAAAAACGCTTGGCAAAGGAAGCTGGTTTGTTTAACAAACCTACTATTAAAAAGCGGAAGCGACAACTAGTGGGAGTTATCGAAACTCCAATCAGAATCCGAAGCGACTTCCATATATCAACACTGTAAATCTGATGGTTCTTTGAATTCAAAAAAATGTCAAGCTTTTGACATTTTTTTTGGAGATGAGACTGCAGCTCAACAATAATTAAGGATGCGTTGCAAATCCTGTGACAATCGGATCTTGGATGGATCTTGCCGTTCTAATTTGGTAAACAATATGTGCAAGAATTGCCAATAAACTAGTATTTTTTTATAAAAAAAAAATTTCTTTTTAACTTTATTAAAAAATATCTTTTTAATTCTATTAAGCAGTGGCATAGCGAATGTAGCACGTAGATGCCTCCAAGAAGTACTTATGGACTTTTCTGTGATAAGACAATAAGGACTTCCTAGGGCACTTGAACAATAAAAAAAAGGGGATAAAATCTAAAGTAATAAAATCGTTGACTAATTATAATAAAAATAAAAAATAATACTATTTATACTTAAAAAGGCCTTTTTTTATCTGCTCCATGTTGTTTTCTTTGGCAACCCAAAAGACTTTTTTTTTAGAGTCCGGGAAGACGCCCTCCTTGGTTACTGGTATTATCTGATATTAAATCATCATTAAACAATAAAACAACATTTAAAATTTTTTTTTTATTATTTGTGACGTGATGCCTTATTAGGATTTATATAGCGACCGAACTTATGAGAAGGTATTGAAAATTCGGTCAAAGTAGATGTACTCATTTGAAATTAAATATTGAGTCCTAAATTTTTATTTTCATTTTTTTTTTTTACAACATTGATTTTTAATTTAAAAATTTTTTAATTTATGCATGATAAATAAATGTTCAAAGCTTAAGTGACCTAACTTTACGGCAATTTTACGGTATATAAAAAACATAAAACTTTGTTGCTTAAGGTGGTACCCAGCCATTATTTCTTTTTTCTTATATTTTACACATAATAAATACCTTTTATGAATTACTAGCATAATAGATAAAAATCTAAAACGTTTTGCAAATATTTTATTAATTTAAAAAAAAAAAAATTACTCAACAAAAAAAGGTGAAAAAGTCCCAAGAACATAAACCTCTTAAGATTACATCAATATTAAAGGTTGAAATTTTTCAAAACGCTAGCATATTAGTGTAGCTTGTGCCTGAACCAAAAATTTTTTTAAAAATTTTAAACGATCAAAAATGGCTTAATACTATAAAAAACTATTTTCAGCGATAAAACACTTATTTGATATGGTAAATGTAGATTTAATTTAATAAAAATGTAGATGTAAGTTTAATTTTTTTAAATTTTATTTTAGGTTCAGGCACTAAAAGCATTAATAATGAGCATATTCTGAAAATTTGAAGCTAAAAAAATGTTTTTTTATTGAGGTATTGTTTTCCTACAGCTGCTCATAAAAAAAATAAAAATTGAGAAAAATCAGTTTTAAAATTATAAATCATGTACACTACATTTTTTTATAAATCATATACACTACAAATTTTGATGTGTTTGAGAATAATATTATTGATATTCTAAAATTATTTTGGAAAAAATATTTTTACAATTGAATTCTACAAGGTTTAATTGTCTAAATAACATTTTTTTTAATTTTTCATTTTTTTTTAAATTTTTCACCAACATAATGGCTGGATACCACCTTAATGTTATATAAGTTAAAATAAAATTAATTGTCTTGGCTGCTTGCTCATGCCTCGAATAATAAAAATAATAAAAAATAAAACCAACTGTTTGTCTTGGCTGCATGCTCATGCCTCGAAGACATACTTCATGATAAGTGTGCTTGCAAAAAAATGTCACAATTGTTGAAGCTTTTCTGTTATCTAAAAATAAGTAATTAAAAATAATTTTGTGCACAAAAAATTGTGTAAAAAATTTGTTAGTTACTCAGTGTAAAAATTTTACTCAGTGTAAAAAATTTTACTCAGTAGTTTATTATTATCATGCAGATAAAAATTCCAACAACCCCCTCCGCCTTACAAATAAATGTAATAGAATAGAAAATTGCAAAAAAGTAAAAACAAAAACAACTTTATTTTACTTTATGTAAAAACATTCAATAAGCCTAGGAAACCTTATTAAAAATTTGTAAACAAATGCCCCTCCTCCTACAATTGATTTAAAAAAAAAAACATATACAAAAAATACTGAAAACTTTAATTGCAAACAAAAATTGCTCTCTGAATGAAAATTGCTTTTCAATGCAATTTACAAATGTACAATTTTTATGCAATTTACAAATGTACAATTTTTTTTTTTAAATTTACAAATTTTCAATATATGACCCTAATAAATATATGGATTAAACATAAAATAATTTGAAAGTAATTATTCTGTCAAAATATAACTAAAATCTAAAAAAAAATTACACTTGTAAATATATGTTGTAATTATGTTAATTGTAATTTAATGCTATTAATTTATTTATTTATTCAATAATGCAGTAGTGGTGTAGCGGTAGAGCGCTTGCCTCATAAGCAAGAAGTTTCGAATTTAATCCCCACCAACTACTTCCTAAAATGATTAATGATAAAAGACTACAAGTAATTACAAATAAAGTAATCAAGTAATTACAAATTATGTTAATGTTAATGAAACAAACCTGAGAGAATTCTGTACATCACGAGTTCTATACCCCCAAGCTGTAATTATATTTAAATCTGCAAAAAGACTTTTACATTTGGATTTTATGCTGCTCTGAGAAATCTTGCCTGCTGTACCAACAGTAATGGTTTTACACAAATCTGTCCAGAAGATAAGAATCACTGCTGTATTATGTCTAAGCTTGGGGGGTATAGAACTCGTGATGTACAGAATTCTCTCAGGTTTGTTTCATTAACATTAATATAATTTGTAATTACTTGATTACTTTATTTGTACTTGTAGTCTTTTATCATTAATCATTTTAGGAAGTAGAAACATTGCTGAATAACTTAAATCAATGTAAATCATAAAAATATAGCATTTCAATGTAAAGCATAGGTTTCAAAACATCTGATTATGCATCATGAACTAATTCTTTATTTCATATAGATTATTTTTTCTATATTGTAATCTTTTGATCTATAGCAACTAGAACATATATTTAAAAAAAGTTTAAAAAAAATATTTGAAAAAAAAACATATTTTTCAGTTGGAATATCTTTACAATTGGGGAGGCATAGACGAGTCTTGAACACATAAAATTGTCAGTAAAAGTAAAGAATTATAAAACATTATGCACTCTTTTTTAATTTTTTTTGGTGTTTTTACTTGATAGTTTTATGAGTTTATATACTTTTTTAATTTTTAATTTATAAGTTTATTGTTTAGTGTATTCAATTGATAGAATTATAAGTTTATACAATATTAGTGGTAAAACAATTTGGTCACAATCAAGAAGGTTCATAGTTCAAACCCATTCTTTTTCTGAAAATTTTGTGCTCAACTGATTTCTCCATGCAATAATTTAATAAGATTTCTGTTTTAGAGTTTGAGTTAAGAGAGTTTTAATTTAAATAATAATAAAAATAATGGCTTTCTTGACAGCAGTAACCCACTCTGATATAACTCTGTGACCCACTATGATATAAGCCCTCACAGTTGTAACTCATTCTAGAACCTCTCTAATCCTGGAGGCTTAACAATAATAATAAAAAAAGGTTACTAATCCCCCAAGTTAATTATTCATTAAAAAAAAATTTGTTTTATTAACTTAATTATTATTAGTCTTTTTATTTCTAGTTATTGTTAAATATATTTATTTTATCTCTAGTTAATTTTTTAGTTTTTAAGTTAGTTTTTTAGTTAGATATTTAATGTTTAGTTAGATATTAAAATAAAGAAAGAAAAAAAATTAAAACTGAATGTGACCTTTATATGATATGATGATATACCTCCTCTAAAAATTACAAAATATTTAAAAAACACTAAAAAACTCTTGTTGGTAGTAATTTTAGCTAGAATGACAGCATGATGGGCTTCCATTCAGAATTTATATAGCATCAAATAATCTTTGAAATTCATTGAAAGCATTAAATTTTAGTTATAAACTTCCATAAAATATATATATTTTTTTTAAACAAATTTTAGTTGAGATGAAATAAAACTTATTTAAAACACACCATCTTCCTTCTTTCATCATTTATCCCTTTTTTAAGTATGAAATACACCAATATAACTATACCTTCTACAATTAATTTTCCTTCGCATGTTGGACAATGATCAATATCTAAACACAAAATAAATATTAAACATGTATAAAAAAAAGCACGCCTTTACATTTTATTTTATTACAGACAAAGCCATGTTACTATTTTTAAGGCTGGGGTACAGACAAAGCCAATTTTAAACAAGACAGAAACAATTTTAATACTAAATTTTTTAATACTACAATACTAAGTTTTTTTCAACTAAAAAAAAAAACAAACTTTTTTACTAAAGTTTATAGCAAGTAAACTGAGATGTATTAAAAAGGTGTATTAAAAGACACTATCATATCTACCCAAGACAGTTTGCTGAGCAGTGTGGAGACTTCATTCTAAATTTAAACGTACATGAAGTAATTTAAACACGTAGAAGAGTCAACATCGAGGGCAATTTTGTAGTTAGTTTTAATGGAAAAAGAATTTAATTTTTTTAGCATTAATTTTTACCACTCTAGAGCAGGAAAAAAAACTATTTATTTTTTTAACTATTTATTTTTATTTCTATTTAGAACTATTTATTAACTATTTTTATAAGACTAATGCAATTAAATAAAAAAAAATTCATATAATTGGCAACACTAAAAACCTGACGGTCTCTTTGGCCCACGATGATAGGATCAAAGGAAAGTGTAACTAATGTTTTTTTTTCTTTTTTAAAGATAAAGATACATTAGACTTGGATTTTATTGGTAGAGTTTTTATTTGATGTTAATATGATCTAGAATTTTTCAAAAATAATGGTATTTTTTGTATACTCTTTATTAGGGTAGGTCGATTTTACTTCCGCATATTGCGTAATACTGCAGTAGTTGGAGACAGTTGAAATATGATTACCCTCAAAGTTTGAAAGATTTTTGATGAAGATTCGCTTGCGGATTTAATTTTTAAGATTTGAAGGATTACACAAAAAAACACCTTAAAAAACGTTATACGAGAAAACTGACGTTTTAAATATGTTCATTTTAAAAATGTTTTTAATATTATTTGCATTGCTAAATGATTTAAATTTATAATAATTTATAACAATTAAGTTAAATTTATAACAACTTGTTAATTGTTTAAAGACTTTATCAGTGAATCTTTTATCCTTATATTTACATAAGAATATTACAATAAACAATAATTTCACAATTTAAAACATTTTGAACAGGAATATATATTTTTAGAAAAATATTTTCAATTAAAAAATATCATCATAAGAATGGGAATAATGTCCTTTTGAAATATATGGTTTATGCATCTTCCTGCTTAGTAATTTGGTTAAAATGCAACTGTGTCGATTCTCGAACCCATAAACATATTGGGATGCTTCCGATACTAGTTTTACCGCTCGCTCAACACTCTGGGAGTGAGATGGAAAGTCGGAAATTTCAGGTTTAACGTTATTGTCAATCATATATTGGATTTGCTCAATTGAAAAATGTTGTGTTGTAGGGGGCTCCGTAACTTTTGTAATGCTGATGTCAACCAACTCATACCAATGATTAGCATTAAAATTAATTTCCGGAATTTTCATCAAATTTACTTTCAAAATTTCGTTGTTTACTCTATGAGTATAAACCGAAGTCAATTACCACATTTAATATAATTTTTTTCAAAACTTTATTTTAGTTAACTATAAAAAATACCTTTGCCTTAGAGCCAGTAGGATTTGAAAACCAAAGTTTCGTATCTTTTTGTCATTATCTTTTAGCATGGCATAAAGAATATTTTCAGGTTTTAGGCACAATGCATTTTTTTTGATGTTTTTTTTAACAATAAGTTTAACATCATCAAAGGGGAGATTATTTATTCTAGTAATAGTAGAAAAAATAAGGCGCGGGGATTCGTGGAATTTTGAAGATTTTTTTATTTCGAACCATGCTGGAGCATAAACTTGAACAATAAAGTATACAAGTTTTTTTAAAGAAACGGTTGGTTGATTGTCTCTAGTACATAAACAGAGAAGGCGAATAGCTAGAGTTAACCACCTTGCATGGTTAAGCGGTCCAATTTTATAGGCAGCCCATTTATCAGAAACTTTACCAAAGCCTATTCCTTTGCAATATTCAAACAAAAGTCTTTGATCGCAACTAAGGTCTATTAATATTTCTTCTGGAATATATCCATCTACTATTGGGTTTTCAATACGTTCAAACAAAACTTGATTTCTATCCTGAATATTTTCAGCACATCTTTTGCCAAGTAGACCACTGAAGCTTCTTGGCCCAGTTGTGTCACCATCAAGTTTTATAAAAAGAGCTCGTAACGGAAGTTTGTTTTGATGTAATGCGCATCCAATTAGGTGTAGTTTTCTTTTTAAAAGCTCTTCTAGTTTAACCACTAAGCCACTTATTGGTCCAGTATTGGTAGCTGTATTATCAAGAAGAACAGCTTGTATACTTTCCAAACTGTTATATTCTTGTAAAACACTGAACGTTTCGGTAGCAAGAACTAAGCCTGTAGCACCAGTAACAGGAATCGTCCTATGAGTCAAATAATTTCCACTCGATTTTCCATCTTCATAAGTAAATGTGAGGTGATGTTCAGGTTCAATGCATTTCTTTAGTACTTCTCCTTGAGGTGAGTTTATTATTTTACTTGTTTTAGTTATCTGATCGAGCTTGCCATCAACCCCAAGACAAATTAACTGTTTTTTTTGTTCTGAGTCCACATCTTCAGTAACAGTTTTTACTTTTGATTTGGCTCTATCTAATTTGCATTTGTCAATCAAAATATCTTTTATATCAACGTCGTCTTTCAGGAGATGTTTAATGTCATGTAGTAAAGCATTTGCTAGAGCTGCACCTACGTTTGACGAGCACTCGTTTCTAACTAGTTTCATTGCAAATCTTGGAAGTTTAACCAAGTTGTATTTTCCAATAGGATTATTTGTTGGTTTCCATTCACCTTCATCCTAAAAAAGTTAAAAAAATAAAATGCTTTATATTTCATCTACTACGAATATATCATGTAGTTATAAAACATTTACTTCCGTATTGGATAAACCACTTGCTTCTTCAACTAAGTTTACATGTGGTATAGGGGATTCATCTTCATCAACTAAATTATGAAATATTTTTTTTCGTTCTTTATCAAGTTTTTGAGTCTTTTTGACAGATAATCTATCAACGGAAGAAAGTTGATATGCACCTTTTGGACCAATTTTTTTTCTCTGATCACGAAGATAAGCTCTGTCTTCAAGAGGTACTTTATTACTTTGAGAGCAAAGGCATACAATATGTTCTTCAATGCAATTTTCTTTATTGCAAGAAACTTTTCTATCACTACAGGGAAACACATCTAATGAACAGGAACACGCAGAAATATCAAAGAGTTTGTCCAAGTTAGCATCAAGATTTCTTTTTGCGCTTGCTTTTCCGTGCTTGCGATTAATATCCTTAACAAGTACGAGAAGATCTTTTACTTTCCTATTAATAGATTTGTCAGTTATAAGAGGTAAACTTGGGTTTACTGAAGCCCAAATTGATTTTATATTATTGCTAATTTGCTGAGTCACTGATAAGATATCTGCATTTGGATTCACATGAATTAGATAGTAATAGTACTGAATAACCTGTCTAAAAGTGCTTGGATCTGTCATTGATAATTCACATGGGCCACCGCAATACTTTTTTTCACTTTTCATCCGTGTAATTGTAGTCGTAACTTTCGGCATTTTTGTATACTAATAATATATGTAAACTCTATTAAAGTATAGCACTTAGAGCCATGGGCCACGGCGTGACTTTTTAGTGGGGGAGGGGGAAAAACACCAAAAAAACCTATTATATCAAAACTTACTACAAAAAATCTAGTTTTTAAAAAAAGGTCCATTTGAAAAAATCTGGGGGCCATAGCCCCTCAGCCCCCTTTTCCCCCTGTCGCCGTGGCCCATGAGAGTATAAGTTATTTATGAATTAAGTTAACATTAGTTCTTTCTGAAACTTTTATATTTTAAAAGGTGCAAAAAAAAAATTTTTGTAATATTAATCAGGTAAAAACATTACTGTAAATATATTAATCATAAGTATTTACCTTTGATATTTAACTATTTCTTTAAATTGTAGTTTTATATTTGAACCTTTTAAATACTTTACTTTTCAATACTTAAATACTAAAAAATTTAATTTTAAAACCAACATTTAACGATTAGCAAAATTGAAATTTAAAAGCGTGTAAACGATTTAGCGAAAATTTATTGGCTTCTTAAAACAATTGCGCTTTTTAAAATATCGTTAATTGGTTACTCTAAAAATTCGAAACGAGATACTTTAAAACGAGGTTACTAGACTTAAAATAAAATATTTCAATGTTTGAAATAAACAATCTAACAAAGCTAGTCCAATATTAAGTCTTGAAATGTAAATCCGCAAGCCATTTTTAAACCAGAACACCTGATATTTGGCAAAACCTTATTTCTAAGCTAGACACAGTAACTGCAACATTACGCAACTCGAAATTCAAAAAAAAAGCTAAAATCGACCTACCCTAATGTAACCTATGTACCCTATGTACCCTAATGTACCCTAACCTACTCTAATAAAAAACCTCAAATTAGAATACTCTTTTTATCAAATTATATATATATATATGTATATATATATATATATATATATATATATATATATATATATATATATATATATATATATATCCAGTCATAAAAGTTTTCGTACACCTTACAATTTAAACTAATAAAACTAATACCTAATGATATGCAATTCCTTAGTTGGTTCCTTAGTTGGAACAAGTTTAAACACTTGTTCAAACTTGTTTGCTCATAGATTTTTATTAAGATAATAATAATAATTTTTTCACTAAAATTTATTTATAAACATGAGTTTAAAAAAGAAACATCACATGTTTAATGACATGCGCAAGTTAATAATAAAATTGCATAAAGAAAAAAAATCTTTTTGTCCAATTGTTAAAACTGTTGGTAAAACACATTCCACTATTCTAAGTGTTGTTAAAAATTTGAAATGACTGGTTCTGTTAATAAATTACCAAGAGGTGACCGAACAAAAAATTTAAATTTACAAGATAAAAAGAGTATAATTATAAAAGTCAATTCAAACCCACATATTAGTTCACTAAAATTAGCAATAAATGTTGAGCTTGAGGTTGGAAAGAAAATTTATCTCGAAAATATTAGACGAATACTTAGATTATCCCGATTAAATGGGAATAAACCTTAAAAGAAACCCTTTATAAGTGTAGAGAATAAAAGAAAAGGAGTTTGCCAAAAAGTATGAAAACAGAGATGAGCAATTTTAGAACAAAGTTTTATTTACTGATGTCAGTAAATTTAACATTTTTCGGACCTGAAAGTTGTGAAAAAATATGGAGGAAAAGAATACAGAACTAGTAGAAAAAAAATTAATACCAACAGTGAAACATGGAGGTGGTAGTGGAATGGTTTGGGGATTGATGGTTGCAAGTGGAATGGGGAGTTTGGTATATATTCAGTTTAGAATGGATTTCTGGGTATTTGGACATTAAATTACACTAAATTAAAGTTAGGAAATAATTGGATATTTCAACAGAAGCAAAATCCAAAACACACTGCACATGTTGTAAAATTAAGGTTGCTATAGAACGTTCCAAAACTGCATTCTCCTCCCCAACCACCAGACATTAACCCAATAGAACAGGTGTGGGATTATTTAGATAGACAAGTCAGGAAAGATAGAATAACAAATATTAACATGCTAATAAATCTCTTAATAAAAAAATGGAATGAAATTACTTCTTCCTATAATAAAAAAGTGTCACCGATAATCAGAAGATCAAAATGTAAAAATCTACCCTTTGTCTTCTAAGATTAACTCTTACTTCTGATCTTTGTTGGAAACCATATATCATCTCGATTTTCCTGATTTCTATAATTTGAAATCTTTTAAGTTGTCTGTCGATTGTTATCTTACTCTGTAAACTTTATCTTTTGAAAGTAACATATTATATGTATACAGTAAATTTTTGTTAACTTGAACCTCCAAGCTTTTTTACAACCAGTTGCCATTCTTAGCATTAATTAATTTTTCAGATCAGAACTTTATTTATGTTATGAATGCTAAGGAGATTACCACAAAGTTTTCAAGCTCATCCTACCCTTAACTATAATTATATTGGGGGCTTTATATCAAAGTTCAATTTCTCCTAGATAAATTGGCTTCATAATGGCTAAATATTCTTAACCTGCCCTAATAAATGATCAGTTTAATATCACTCCCAGGACAAAAATATTTATTGTAAAAAATTGAAAAAAATTACTAAAAAATGTGCTCCAAGATTAAATTTTTTTTTGTGGACTGGAATGGATAGCTAAACAGTAGTTTTTTAAAATTTAAAAATTTAAAAAAAAACAAGTAAGTACTGAGTGGAGTCACTTTAAACATTTGGAAAAATAACTTACCATTTATAAATAGTTTGCTAAACAAAGCAATTACTCAACAATTAACAAGCTCTTTTTGAAAGTGCTTCAACAAATGGTTAAAATTTTTGTTGAAACAAATGAAAATTTTTTTTGTGTGCATGCGCATGAGAGCTAAAGCATTTCTCAAAAGAGATGTCTGCATAAATTCACTTAAATTCTCATAATAATAGAGTGCACTTCACATAAAAATAAAAACTATTACCAGATAATAAAAAATTATTACCAGATATTAAAAATAAAAAATTATTACCAGATATTAAAAATAAAAAATTATTACCAGATATTAAAAATAAAAAATTATTACCAGATATTAAAAATCCTTTCGAAAGATTTTTAACCTGCTTATCATACAAGGCAACACTATAAAAAAAAAAAAAAAATTCAAAATAATTTTTTTTTAATACAATTTATCTTAAAGTTCATTTAATCTTTTTTTTTTCTGTTAATTTTTTTTTAAAGTATCTAATTCTATCTATAAAAGTATCTAATTCTATTTTTTTAAAGTATCTAATTTTTATAATTTTGAAAAACTTTTGTTGAATGTTTTTTAAAATTCTAAAACACCTTGATTTAATTTTTTAAAATAAATAAATAATTAAAAAAGACTTGCCTATCTTTGTCTAATATAGCTTTACAACCTTCATGCAAATAAACCTTTAATAAAAACATATGTAAATTTTTACATTAACTTGATAATTTTATATTATTAATTAAAAGTAAAAATATTACTTGTAAATTGTAATCTTGTAAAATTTTCACTAAAGCATCTCTCAGACCAGGAATCTCCATTTTTGATGGAATTTTCTGAAAAAAAATAAAAAAATAAATTATATATAAAAAATATATAAAATCTTTAAACATTTTTAATTAAGACAGCAATACAACAACAAAAGCATACCAAATAAAAAAAGCATACCAAACAACAAATGCATATCAGCAAACAACAAATGTATATTAACAAAAACATATTCAGAAAGAAGTTTACAAAAACATATTTAAGAAGAAGTTTATTAATACATATTAAAAAAAAAAAAAGTTTACAAAAATGTTAAGCACAAAAAAAGATCAAACTTTTTAAAACTATTTTTAAAATAGTTTTAAAAGCTCTCTAAAAACTCATAACATAAAAACAACAAAACTTGTAACATAACAAACAACATAACCACATAGGCATGGAATTACCATCAAGGTAAAAAAAATTTTTTGTACTAGATCCTAAGTATATGCATGGAGATGATTTTCACAGATTTAAAAAAATATTTTGCAACATCTGAAAATGTTGTGGCCATTTCAACGTTTCAGTCGAGACCCTAAAATACAGAAAATATTTATTTCCTTTATTTTCAAAACAAAGGTTTCAAATTGATAAAACTTTAAAATTAAATAGTTTCCTTGGTTATCAGTCAAGAGAAAAGCAACACAAAAATTTATGGTTTCATAAAAAAAAAAAAAAGTCAATTTTTGTGTATTTTAACATTCATAATTTTGCATTTGTCATTTCTGTGAAAATCCAGACTTGAGGTAGAACATAAATATTTGTTGTCCAAATCTATTGTCACAATGCCTAACAAGACTTCATCACACCCTGAAAACTGTGCTAAAACATGTCTGGTTTATTTTCAAAAAGGAACAGAGAAGGTGCCAGCTAAAAGAGACTTGATACTTCCAAAAATTTAGAAATACTTCATTGACAATTATGACCCCAATGAAGAGTATTTACCATCTGCTAGATTACCTTAGATGTAGATTAATTCTTCTTAAGATTGAAACAGGAAGGAAAACAAATAATTATCTGCCTGGCCCCATTTTTTTTTATAAAGTTATTCTAATGACTCGGATAAAATCAAATCCTTTTTGCTGTTAATTTATTTGTGAAGTTTTCTGTTTTAATCCAATTGGAATGAACAAAGGATTGGCTAAGGTTGTTCTTTTTCAAGTAGGAAGACCTTCAGTAGCAGCCGAAGATTTTTTACCACCTCATGGGTCAGCGCTGTTGACAGCCAGTTTTTATGGAATAGCATATCCAAGTCTTTGTACAGTTCAAAATGAATTGAAAATTTTTTAGTTATTGGCCGAATTCCCTGTGTAGCAGAAGTTATTGCTTCTGATATGATCAAAATAAAATTTGTAGTATCTGGAGATGGAGGCTCAATGGCTATTTCAGCAACAAGAGGGAGGGATCACAAAAATCAAGAGAAATCATTTAATTCAAAGAGCATTTTTGTTTGAATCCTGCATCTGCTAAGGAAATTAGTAGATTGCAATCTAATTTAGGTCTCTCTTTGAAACAAACTCAAAAAGCAGCTACTTTTTAACTAGCTAACTTGGAGTGGTCGCAAATCAATTAAATCTGATTTGGTTGGAAAATTAAGTCAACAAGACAAAGCTCTTGATTTATTCTACAATTCTACAATAATAGACTTTGATGTTTCCAATGGTAATAAACAAAGTGGAAAAGCTCAGTGCTCAGTTTTTTTTGTAATGACATTTTTGGTTTGGTTGAACACATCTTTAACAGTTGAGACCTTCCACCAGATGATTATATGATCAAAATAGGCATTGATGGAGGTGGTGGGTTTCTCAAGGTTTGCATGAATATGTTTGATAGCCAAAAAGAACAAACAAAGCATAAGTTTTCCTATTTAAAAGCTGATCTTCTCCTTTTGTGACACAGTATTCAAAAGCTGCATCTTCTCAAGCCTTTTGTGACACAGGAGTGAAGAAACTCTTGATCTTGGCAGTTGTTGAGTCTGTGAAAGAATCTTATGAGAACTTGAAGCAAATTTTAGAGTCGCTTTTTATTAATACTATTACGAAATTTTTATATTTTCATTTTTTTTATATTAAATAATAAATTTGATTTACATTAAAAAGAAAAATTTTTATGTCAAAAATTGTTTTTCTTGACATTTGTATAAATGAAATAAAATATGTTAATTTTTTTAAAAATAGTCATTTCTTAAATAATCATTAAAAAAAATTGCAACTAAAAAAGATTTTTCATTTTAAAAAAATTAGCGAGTAACAAATAAAAAAATTATGTTAATTTATCTACCTTTATTTATTAAAAGTTTATAATTTTATTAGCGATTTTGTTTTAAAACACCATTTGTTAAAATTATATCGTATATATCGTGTATCAAAAAATAATTGCTGCGCTCTATTGCGTTATAAAAATAGTTTAACTTACGTTTAGCCTCGAAACACATAAAAAAATGTTTAGAAAAGAAAACCGAAATAACAAATGCGAGCTAATTTTTTTTTAAGAATAAATTTAAATATTCAAAAATATTTAGTATCATCTTTAAATAAATTTAACAGTCAAGTTAAACCCAAGCATTAACTTTAATTTTATATATTTAAATAGAAATTAAATTACATATCTTTTTATAAAAATAAAGTTATATATTTTTGTTAAACTATTTTTGAATTAAATCATTTATTTTTTTATCAGAATTAAATCACATTATAACGATCTTTGTTTCAAGCTTAAAGTATTAGCTTTTTTTAAGCGAAAAAATCGATCATTGTAATAATAAAAAAAAAATTAAGTATAAATTACTATATAGAAACTTAAGTAAATTTTTTTAATGCAATCAAAAGTTGCATAAATATTACTGTTCTCTCAAGATTATAAATAAAAGTTTTTATGTTTCTTTTATGTTTTTTTTTTAAATAACTTCGCATTTAAAAAAAAACTATAAACATTAACTATAAACAATTTTGTTTTCTGTTCAATAAAATAATTAGCTTTATAGAGTTTTTGCAGTTTTTAATTTTTTTCATTAGTAAATAGTACTTTTAGCTTTTTTCATTAGTAAATAGCGCTTACATCTAACATAATTGTCATTTAAACTTTTTTACAAAATCATCAAAGTAGTTTTTTATAAAATTAATTACTTCTTTATCTTACCACTTAGTAGAGTAATTTAAAAGTTAAAAAAATATCATAAGTTGCTTCATGGAAATTGCTCTACCCGTACGTAATTTGTACGTAAACTACTGACCGTTCAAACAAACTAAGCATTTACAGGCCACCAATCTATGGAAAAGAATTCAATGGAAACCAATGAAGGCATCTCCTAAACAATGTTTGGGTCCTTTAGCAATTGCTTGCAAATTTCTAAATTGGAAATGAAGGAGAAAAACTTCTTTCTGCATTTAAAATATTTGAGGCAGTCAGACAGACATGCTTTGGGAATGTCCTATAATGTTTATTCTATACTTACTTTTGAGAGAGAATACAAAACCGTTTGAATTTCAATTATACCTAAAGTTCATGCTGTTATAAGCACATACCTGAGTTTATCAACAACCAGGCTGAAAAGCATGATATTAACCGGCAAAGACTTCCTCCGACTCTACAAAATTTTTCAAGAGGTATTCAGTTTTAAAGTGAGCAAGTATCCGAATCAGTTCATTCAGACTTTACCAGGCTGGGAAACAGGTGCTTACAAACAAATTAGGTCATTCAGAATACTGAAAAAAAACTAAAGAATTGTGTAAATAGGTATTGTTCAAGACATCTCTATGTCAATAGTGAAAATCTTGTCAAAATTCGTAACTTCGTTGAAATTAAAGAACCCTGTAAAGAGAATTATAACAAATTTCCGAATTTTGATGTAAAGAATATTGAAAAATGTAACCCTTTTTATTTAAAAATTTCATGTTCTATTCTATAGTTTATTAATACAAAGAATAGCTTCAATAATTTGATGTGAGTAAATAATCTAATAGAAAAATAGAAAAAATAATTTTGATTAGGATTAATAATAATAATAACAAGAAAAAATTTAAATTTTATATAGCCCAGAACATTTTTTGCAAAATAAAAACTCCGAAAAATATAGTGTTTTCAAGGATTTTGATAAACACTAAAATGACAATAACTTTCTCAGACCTCACAAAATTTTTTTCAAAATTTTTCAAAATCATGTCCATGCATATACCTAAGACCTTGTACAAAGATTTTTGCAAAAACTTTATTTTACCTTATTGATTATTCCATGCTTATGTGTAACAAACAACAAAACTCATAACATAACAAACAAATAACAAAACTCATGATATAATGCAATAGTAGGCTTTTGATATAAAACTCACAACCATGTCAACCATGAGGTTTTGGGTTCTAATTCACCCTATGCTGCTGGAAACATAATAACATGTTAAAAAACATGTTCTAGTAAGTTAGTAAGTTAAACTTGTTCTAGTACGTTTTTAGTAATTAGATATTTACAATATTTCTTAACATGTTAAGAAACTTTGTTTGAATAAACAAGGCTCTTCTGTTTATTCAAACTGTTAGCTCATAAGTACCACTGCACCACACTCCACCAAAGTTAATGGTTTTATTATTATAAGTTTTATTTCAATTTATTGTTATAAGGTTAGTTTCATTCTAATATTAATACTGATTGTGCATTTTAATTATTTTTTTTACATCTAGATTAAATAATGTATATGTACATATTTTTAGTATTAGGTACATCTAACAATATACTTTTAATACTCAGGCACACATATTTGTAAACATTTATGTACACATTTTTAGTAATTAGATATTTACACGTACTTTGATATTTTATATAAGAACTTTGTACTTTCTGTTTATTTGTAGTTATGAGTAATGGTAACATTTAATAATGAAAATATTTTCCGAAATTAATTAAGAGATTAATAATTAAAACAAATATTTAATTTAGATAAATAAAAACACAAGTATTTAAATAGAATCATAAAAATCAAACAATGAAATTAAAAAAAAGAAAAAGTATACAACCTTGATTAGTAACTTAGGATCAACATGGGTACCAATGCTGATCAATAGTTCTTTGATATATTCTAATTAATAAGAAAAATCCAAATAAAATTTTTAAATGCATATCATTATTATCTTGAAACAAAAATGGTTTATAATTTATTTATATCATTAAAAAAAAAAAGGAAAACAGACATTAAAAAAATAAATATATTTAGATATTAAAAAAGCATGGAATGTTTAAATAATGGATGACTAACCCGGCTTCGGAAGAGACTTTTCTATTAAATAATCCCAAAGATCTGTATCATTTTCTTCCTTTGCAAAATCAATTGCCTAAGAAATATTGCACAATACATAATTTTTAAGAAATATTGCACAACACATGATTTTTAAGAAATAATGCACAATACATAATTTTTAAGAAATATTGTACAATAAATAATTTTTAAGAAATATTGCACAATGCATGATTTTTAAGAAATAATGCACAATACATAATTTTTGTTAAAAAAAAAAAGGTAATTTGACATAATTTTTTTTAACAAAATTCTTCATAAACATTCTAGCTTTAGATCATTTTAAGAAAAACAATAAAAATAATTTTTGTAAAATATTTTTATTAACAAATAGAGGGTATTAATTCCCAACATTTTTTTGATCCCGGTAAGCAGGAAATTTAAAAATAATTTCCCAGATTCCTGGGAATAAATCCTTTCTTACACAAATATAAAAATACAAGACTAATTTTTAATAAGAAAATGACATTCACTTTAGAAATGTTATTTTATTTAAAATTTGTATGTATATACAATATTTATATATGTTTGCATTAGGGTGGTGTGATTTAAAAAATTTTTTAAATCACAAAAAAATATTTTTTATGATTCCTCTTTAGATTTTAAATTCTTGACAGAAATTTTGTTAAAAATTTTTCAAAAGAAGCAGAATAATATGCAGATTTTGAAAATAATATTTGTTTTTATTCAAAAATAAAGAAATAAAAAAATTGTCTTTTGTTTTTTAAGTAAACAACTTTATTTCAATGTTTTTTAACAAAACAGGAGTTATAGGCATATTTTTGGAAATTTTTTTTTTAGAAAAATTTTTATTTAATAAAATTATTGTTTGTAAAACATGCATAATTTCTACTTTTTTTTGGGTCCAAGATTGATTTGGTTATATTGAGAAAAATTAATTTTGCTTAAACCAAACATATTTTGAACTTAGTTGAGAATAACTTTTTAAAATTATGGGGCAGTCATAGTTAGAGGTATAGTTAACGCCAATCTGTCTTTAATATTTTAACTGTTAAGCAATTATTCTCTTCAGAGGATTATATTAAAGAGCAAAAAGAGCATATATATTAAAGATATATATGCTCTATATATAATATATATATATATATATATATATATATATATATATATATATATATATATATATATATATATATATATATATATATATATATATATATATTAAAAAGCAGAGCTAGCAACATCTCCTCTGAAATCATTGTTGTTATGCAGGGAGTCAAACAAAAAATTCAAAATTGCATAAGCTGTGAGCAAATTTGCATCACGTTTACCTAATACTTCTGCAGCTATTTTGATTCGTTGAAGAGTGTTGAAACATTTTTTCTGAAAAATAAACATTAAATAGCTCTAGAGAGTTCAACTCACATAATAATTTTTCACTGCGCCAATCACTTTTAAAAATCTTTCAACCATTGTCACAATGCTGTTCCATCTGGAACATTAGAATTTTCATTTCTTTTACAAATAACTTCCATTACAACCAAGTGCTATACTATAGTTTTAACATAATTGGTGTATAAAACCAGATAATCTACCAAATTTACTGCAGCAGCATCAGTGGTTGATGCAACAATATCTTAAGAGATAAACTCTGTTTCCCTTTAACTAGGCTAATTGTTACTTCAGCTTCCATGAATTTTAACCAGTCTTAGATTAATAAATAACTTATTGAAATGAATGTTGATATTTAAATATCTTTGATTGCGTAGACTTAATTTTCCACTTTTTTCTTTATGTAATTTTTTTTTAAATAATAAATTCATTTTTTGCTATAGCACAATATTCATGAATTAGTTTTATCACATCGTTTTTACCCTTTGGTAGATGATATTGTTTTTCACTTAATGGTTGACAATTGAACTCACGTTTACATACTCAGTGAATCGAAAATCCGTCAGTGGCCGCAATTCTGGCCAATAACTCTGCTAAGGACTGTTTCTTAGAAAAAAATGATGTGAGAGATTTACTCACTTTTGCAGGGACTGTTTCACAGTTACTTGAACAAGCAATTCGATTGTCATTTAAGTTCCTTTTCTTGATATAATTGTTATGATTATGTTGCCAATGTCTTATTAATCCACTGGTTGACAAATCCTTATAACTTAATAATTTATTGGGAGATTTCAAACACATTGTTTGTTCGCCTGCTTTTTTTTTTGAAAAAGATTTTCACACTAAATCAGTCATAAATAAAATAATGTTTCAGTGATTCTAAATAAACAAATTAAAAAATATTAGAATAAAGAAATTAGTTTTGGGGTTAAAGAAAATAGTATGAATATTTTGAAACTTACTTAAATTGTCAATATGTTGGAAACTGAATGCTATTCAAAATTTCTTGAATAATAAATTTCATTTCAAAATTTAAAAAGTAACATGCATTTTGTATTTGTTTTGAATCACATTTTACAAGCCACTGGGGAGCATTTAACATTTTTTTATTAGAAATTATGGCTTTAAATCATGTTTAATTAAAAAAATTATGATTTTTACATTTTCTATATTATAGGTGTCTTCTAAAGTCTGATAATAGACATTAAATAGCTTTGTGGCAAGGCCTTCTTAAACAGGCCGGGACAGCTCATTTTCCGTAAAATTAGCGAAGGCCGACTTTTTTACGGTTAAAATTATTTTTTATCTTTGCTTTTGTAAACAAACTTCAGAAACAAATAAAGAGCTTTATTAGGACAAAACATTTTGATTGAATTTCGAAAGCAAATATTGTAGGAATTTTTTTTACGTTTAGAAATAAGTTAATTACAATAAAAATTTAAGGAGTTTAGCTAAAAATGACTAAATCTCGTTTTTATAACTATGTTTATTACAAGTGTTAAACAGCTAAACTGTTTAACACTTGTAATACAAATAATAAGTTTTTTGATAAAAACAAACAAATATATTAACTTTATTTTATTAAAATTATTTTGACTTTTTTGACTCAAAGTATTTTATTTTGAAGTTGAAAGTTTTGCTTGTTTTATTAAACATTCCTTCCCAAAATCTTCAGAGTGTTTTTTACAATAATTGTTTAAAAAAATGTTTGCCAAAATGCAGCAAACTTTTTTAACACTTTGAACAAGCAATTGAAATTTACTATTGCAGTTAATAAAAATGTCAATTAATCCTTTCTTGCACAGCAATGGTGAAACTTTATTCACAAGTGTCACTTCAAATATAAAAAAACAATAAAAAACAAAGTAGACTAAATTGTCAGAAGGTTCTCTTAGTCTTCCCCTGTTCAAAGAACTGATTTAAGTTCCATATTTTTTGAAACATATTGAAGGTGTCTGTTTTTTCTAAAATTGAATGTAATTCTGGAAGTTTGTAAGCAATAAAACCTGCATTATATAAAAGCCCTTGTTTGCATTCATTTGGCAACTGATCCTCACAATTTTCACATATTGACATATTAAACTCCACATCAAGTTCACACTTATCACAGTGGTGGTGAGCAGGAAGAAATAATGTAAAATCTGTATGCTTTTCTAGCAACTTTTTTGTTTTATTGATTCTAAATTTTTATATAACATTTTGCACAGTTATCAGATATGTGCCACCTGACCCTTGCCAATATTTCCCAAACTGTTTTTCTAGTGCATCTGATTGCATATGTCCTAACAATACATAAGATACACCGCAATTCAACAAATACTTGGCACAGCTTGCTAATCTTTTAGAAGTTTTTTGCAAAGCACTTGCAGTATCCATTGTTATCTTTTTCTCTCTTAATTTTGAATTTACGCATTTCAAATTTTCAGCAAAATACGAAATATAGTTCTCTAAGAAATCTATTTGCCAATCATTGACTGAAGTAATAGGCTTTCTTCGAATATCATTTAATCTAATATCTAGACCTTTTGATTTACTGTTGACAATAAGCCACCACTTAACAACTGTTTCAATAAAAAGTGCAGTATCTTCAGCTTCAGGAAATTTTACACGTAATGCTGCAACTGTTTCATCACAAAAAACTTTAAGAACTAATCCAACATTTTGTCGTTCAATTGGTTTTGGTGACACAGCTTTTTGTGTTAATATAACTTGCTTGCTTAGAATCTGTTTCATTATTAATAACATAACTAACAGCATTCTCCAGTTGAGAATAATATTTAATAACTCCTTTGTTTAAAAAAGACAGTTCAATTTGTAAAAGTTGGCTATATCCAGTAAAATAAATATCTCCAGAATCTTCTAAAGTTGTATATATTGAAAACTTAGGTACTGGTCCACAATGTTCATATGATATTAAAGATATATATTTTTCTTTTTCAACAAAATAAAATTTTTCTTCACAGTTATTTATTATTGACTTCAAATTTTTTACAATTGAATTAAATTGAATAACGTCCATTTTTTTGAAGTTTTCAAACTCATCAGGTAAATTATTTCTTTCAGAGCATATTAAACCAGTGACATCTCGTTTTCTAGACAATATTGGAATACAAGACACTGGTATACCTTTAAAGACTGATGGAGGATGCACTGGAAAAAAACTACCACCTTTGACTTTTTTTAATTCGTGCATCTTTAGGCCAGTGCTGAGCACAAATTTGCTTATAATCTGTAAACACAAAGTTTGCATTTGGAAGTTTTTTAATCCATAACTCGCAATCCTCAGATTTAAAGGGGAATCCATTGTGACATAAATATTATCTTTTACTTTTGATTTGTAATTTAAGGAGCAACCATAAACGCAGCATTTATTAGGCATTTTACGAGTTTAACTATTATAGTTCAAATCAAACAACCAAAATCCTCATTGAAACTATACTTCTCCGTAAAAAAGTCGGCCTTCGCTAGTTTTACGGAAAATGAGCTGTCGCGGCCTGTTTAAGAAGGCCTTGCTTTGTGGACATTAATAGATTTTTATTTTAAATAAATAATTATCCTAATATAACAAAAAAATATACACAAGTAATTCTTTGATTTTATTGTTTTCCTGGGAAATTATGGTAACTTTCTTGGGTAACAGGAAGTGTGAAATATAATAAATTCCCAGAAAGAACCCTCTACTAACAAAGTTATAAAAATATACATAAATTATTAAAATAATTTTTTTAAAACTTTTACAACAACTTTTATACTTCAAAGATTCATTCAAGGTTCATTTAAATATGATATCTGAGATATTTTTTAAGTTCATTTAAATATCTGATATATTTTTTAAGTTCATTTAAATATCTGAGATATTTTTTAAGTAGAGTGATTTACAAAGAAAACCCAATCCTACTCTGTTATAATCAATTCTACTTTTTTATATATAATTCAACTTTGCTATATTAAATTCTACTTTGTTATATTCAATTATGTAAAATTCAATACTATATTATATTTCAATTTTATAAGTATCTCTGTTAATATAAAAATCTCTTTAATACTTGCTGCTTTCATTTTTGTTAATATGCTTTAAACTGTTTAAAATTATCTAATTTAAATTAAAAAATCTACCTTTTGAATATTGCACATTTTATCAATAATTAACAAAAGGGCTTCTTTTTTATTTCCCATTCTCCCTGAAAGAAAATAAACCAATATTAAATAATGAATTAATTTTAAAAACACTTGATCTACTAAAATTAACATAGCATAAAATTTAAAATCTAAATATATAACATATAAACAAAAAACCTTGTAGAAATACCATCTCTGAAATTAAATTTCTTTCTTCACAAACTTTGAATGCCTGAAAAATTAATTTTTTATCAATATTTTATAATATACATTATATACTATTGACACTATTAACAAGAAACTTTAACATAAAACCCGCTTTATATTTTCACCTACCTTTATATATTCATATAAAGGTAGGTGGAGCTGGTTAATTATAAATCTTTCTAGTAAGAGTATTGATACAAAAAGAGGAGGTCAGGATCTGGAACCTGGTTTTGTTTTGAGGAGGTCAGGATCTGGAAAACAGAAAAGGAAGGAAAGGAAAGAGGAGGAAGTTTCAACTGCTTTAACTCCTCTATACTATCATTTAAATTAGGAAACTCCATTATGGAAAAAAATTAAATTATATTTTATGTTTCCGTTTTTTCATTAAAAAAAAAACAAAAAAAATAAGAAGAAACCTTTTCTAGTTGATAAAAATTGCTATTTTTTAAAAAAGATTGTAACCGATCAGGTTGAAATTCTGCATATAGAGAAATCTAAAATCAAATTTATAAAGATTTAAAGGAAAAAATAATGCAAAAAAAAAGAAAAAAAAAAAAACAAAAACACAAAACAACACTAACTTGTTTGTTGTGATAATTATGACCAGCCTGTGGATCTTTTGTAAACAATCCATGTAAATACTAAAATAACAAAATTAATAGGAATTAGTAATTATGATAATAAAAGCAATAATGATAGTAATGCATAAAAAAACAGTTTTAAATAATAATGATAATATTAAAAAATAATATATATACATATATATATATATATATATATACATATATATATATACATAAATTAGTAAAACACTTATCTAATTACACTGATCATGAAACCTCATCAGGAAGATTCCTGGTGAACCTACTGATTGAAAAACAAGTTGTTGAAGAAACTTTGATAAGTGCTTTTACTAATTTAATATTGCTCTGTCCTTTAAGAAAACTGAGCACTCTATTTGTAGAATAAATAACATATATATATATATATATATATATATATATATATATATATATATATATATATATATATATATATATATATATATATATATATATATATATATATATATATATATAATTAATTTGCTACACACTAAATTACATTTATTCAAAAGTATTACTGTTTTTGTTATTTTTAAATCTTGTCATTTTATGTCTATTTGTCAGGGATATTGACAAGGCCTTGAAATGCCCAAATAGCCCAGAATTGGTGAAACATCTGGAAATCCAGGTGGTCATAAGTCTTTTGACTAGTGTTTTGATAGGTTCTCTAGAAGTCACCTAAAGGACTTATGGGACATATAGGGTGATACCATATTATGCTGGAACACCACATTGTCGTTTGGAGAGCAGTGAGCATCAATTCAAGCCTTGGCATAGTTTTTCAGAATTTGAATGCACTCATTGGTGTCAACTTTCTAAACAGATTTGATGAAAAAAGGAGGTACTTTGAAACCATCAGAAGAAATCAGACCAAACATCATAACTGAATTTAGATAATTAATTTTGTTTACTTTACATGATTTGGGATGGATTTGACTGGTTGATGATTAATAAAACAATCGGTATTTCTGTTTGACACAGAATCAACAGTGAACGATTTTTCATCTGATAAGAGGGTGGCTGTTGGTCTCTTTTTTAGGAAGCTCAGCTTTTTTTTCTTAGTTACTTTGATTTTCAAAACCTTTTTTCTTTTGAATAGGAGAAACCAGGTGGTTATTAATCCTGGCTCCAAAGATTGGATTATGTTCTTGATTAAATGAGGAATTCAAATCGACTTCCTTAAACTACTGCCAAGTTTCTTTTTAACACAAAAATTAATTTGAAAACATTTTAGAGGGTTAGATAGTACTTAGAGACTTGTTTTGCATCTTGAAAATGTCTTTGGGAACGGTGTCATTTAAAACCAGGTTAACAATTTGTTTATTTTTACTACTCATTTTCATTTTTCAACTGTTTTTTTGATTAACTTAATTTTCAAAAGTTTTATGCATCAACAATAACAAAAGTGTAAAATTACCAATGGAACATTTATGTTAAAATTACCAAACTTATTACAAGATTTGCGGTCGCATACATTAAATAATTTTTTTTTTATTATTGTATTCTTTATTTACTTTTCTTCATAGAAACTATAGTTCATTTAAGCAGTAACCATGAAAGTATTTGTAAAAAAAAAAAAGAGATGGGAAAGAAGCTCAAGTTGGTAGCTAAAACAGGTCCAACTACTTTTGCATTATAACAACTTTGTATAATGATGTTCAACAAAGTTGTTGAACATCATTATACAAAGTTGTTAAACAGCATTATACAAAAATGTTAAACAGCATTATACAAAGTTGTTAAACAGCTTTATACAAAGTTGTTAAACAGCATTATACAAAGTTGTTGAACAGCATTATACATAGTTGTTAAACAGCATTATACATAGTTGTTAAACAGCATTATACAAAGTTGTTGAACATCATTATACAAAGTTGTTAAACAGCATTATACATAGTTGTTAAACAGCATTATACAAAGTTGTTAAACAGCATTATACATAGTTGTTAAACAGCATTATAAAAAGTTGTTAAACAGCATTATACAAAGTTGTTAAACAGCATTATACAAAGTTGTTAAACAGCATTATACAAAAATCTAACAGTAAGCTAAAGCTTTATTTTAGGTTGCGCAATTTGAAACTTATGACATAAATTTTTGAATTTGACTAAAATCACGAGAAACTTGTAAATCATAATTTATCAAGTGGGCAGAGAATTCAAAAAAAGGCAAGTTAAAAATTTCAAATTTTAACAAATATTAAATTTCAAATTTTATTATACAATATAATGTATACAACTTATGCTAGGTGTTCTTAATACTATTGGATAACAAATGTATATTTAGTGAATGCAAAGGAGACAAAAAAGAAGATAAATCAAATGATAGAGAAGATTGTGTGAATGTGTTGGTAAGATGATTTCTCAAAATGTGATTGGTCATAGATGATTCCTGTTGGCAAGATGATTTCTTTTAGTAAGATGATTTTTCTAAGATGATTTCTCAAAGATACATTTGGATTAGATGGCGGAGGAGAATATGTATCAAAAGAAAGTATAAGGTGCTACACGACCAATTTTAAAAGAATCTTCACTTCTAACAGTATTAAGTACTCACTAAAGATTAGAGGATAATGTATACAATTTTGTTTTTAAATCTATTTATAAATTGTTAATAAAGTTATTTTCTATATTATTTGGAAAGCTGTTTTTATGTCTAGCTAGACCCAAGCAGGCTAAACATAAAAACATAGATCCTTTTTTGCAAACAGTTTCTTTTCAAAATTATTTCATATTCTATTTTACAAATTAAATAAAGAAATTAGATAGATTTTGTTTCATTTTCTCAACAAAATCCAAAGCTGATAAGCACACAAAAAGATAAACACACATTTCAATGATAATAAATTCCCCTGCTCGAGGATAGGATTGTGATAGGACTTCTTGGAACACCTTATTAACCACAAAAAAAATCAAAAATAAATAATAACACAAAGCTAAAAGTAAATATACACACAAAAAATAAAAGTACATATCCACACAAAAAATCACATTGCATTTCTTTATTATATATTATATAGAGTATTTTAGTACAAAGAAATATCTACCTGGTGTAAAAGAGTATTTTAGTACATAAAACTACCTGGTGTAAAAGTTTTTCATTTTGATTTAGTTGTTTAACAACATCATCTACCTAAAATAAAATCTTAAATTGTTATCTCGAAATTTAATATAAAATGTATAAAACTTATAAAATGTTTTAACTTTATAAGTTTTCTACATAATAAACTTTTTTGTTTTAATGCTGCAAATCACCAAATAGCATCAAAAAATTATACCAAAGAATATCTATGATTTGCTATTTTTCCTATATTTCACAGCATGATTCCTAAATTTCTAGTGGTGTAACATTTTGGTCGTCCATCAGTATGGGACAACTCATCTTTGCAAAGGTCAATATAATAATTAAAAAAAAAATTAGTAGCCAGGCAGGGAAACTAGAGAGTTATCATTTACAAAAAAGTGGTTAACAATGGTAATATTTTTGAAGATTTTATTTCATGTGATTATTTTAAAGAAATCTTTAAAACAAATTTAAAGAAATTTACAAGAATTTATTACATGCACAAATAACTACTCATATTTTTATTTATATATTATTTATACTATTTATAAACTCATATTTTTCTGCCTTAAAATCTAAAAAATCTTAAAGCATTTCAAATCAAATTTAGCTGAGCTTTTGAAAAATGCAACCTGTGACACACTGACACAATTTCTATAAAATTTGTTTAATTTCTTAACTAATTCAAAAATTAATGGACTCCAAAAATTAATGGACTCCAAAAATTAATGGACTCCAAAAATTAATGGACTCCAAAATTAATGTCTTTATCAATCATTTAGTGGTATTGTATGCTGATGATATTTTTTAATCTGAACTCTTTTAAGGCCTTCAGAAAATTATTAAAAACTTATAATCTGTACTCAAATTACATAAAACTACTGATAAAATAGAATTGCTCATTACAGATAATAAAAAGTTAAAAATTATATGACATCTCTTGCTGGTAATCAAATAAATTTACATAGTAGACTTAAAAACTGGGTTTTACCTGGGTTACAGAACACTCTGATTTTACCTTACTTGATTGAGCAAACATGATTTGCCCATCCAAGATCTATTACTGTAGAGAAAAAGAGAATTTGCTTACCAGGATTTTATCAATTTTGATAAAATCCTGGAAAATATCAAGAGAACTTTTTAAAGAACAGAGAAAAATTTTAAAAAAGTAAACTCTTAAAGAGATTGCAAAAAGTTTCTTATGTTTAAAATTTTAATTTAATAATTTTTTTTGTAAAAGTATTTACAAAAAGTATTTACCTTTTTTTTTGTAAAAGTATTTACAGTAGGTAATTAAGAAAATAATTATAATAATCATGATTAATCCTAAACCGTATTTTGTATTTTTCTTAACCTAAGAAACAAATATTTGTATTTGCATTTGCATTAAAAAAAAAAATCTCTTGGTTTGCCCCCTCTCCCCCAAAAAAATGCCAGTCAACCTAGTTTACAGAACTACAAATACATTTCAATCATATACACATAAAAATATTAAAAATTTTCTTTATCAATTGAAGTACAAATACAACAACTTGGCTAATTAATTAGTTAAATTGAATTATTACTTTAAATTGCTTAATTAATTGAGGGAGTTTGGAAAAAAAAAGAAGTTAATACTGAACTTATAAAAAGTAACAAACCAAGGAAAAATTTTATGACAGAGCTGCAAAATTTTATTACATATCTTGATTTCATGATTAGAGAGAATATGAGAAAATTAGAACCTTTAATTAATCAAAGATTTTATGAAATAAAAGAATTTTCTAAACTAATTAACTAAACATTTTTAAATATTTTCTCC